TCCCGCGCTGCGATGCTGGCCTGGCCTCGGCACCTCGCCCCTGTCCGCGAGAGCACCGCCCCCCTGTCCGCGAGGTCACCGCTCCCCTGTCCGCGAGGGCACCGCTCCCCTGTCCCAGAGGGCACTGGCGGGACTGGGGGAGGGAAGGGCTTGTCTTCCCCTCCGGGAGCCCTGGTTGCTTCTGGCTCGCGCACCAAGATCTACCAGCCTTGCAGGTGCCGGGGCCCTCGGCCACCAGGTGGCGCTCTGCTCCAGCTGCACCTGGAGCAGGTTCTCCCAACCGGCTGAGGCCGGCAGCGTCCTCCTGTCCAGGATGCTGCCTGGGCCAGGCCTTGCACGCGGGCAACGCAGCTCCCTACCTCTGTGCACCTGCCCCTCAGCCTTGTTTACTGATGCCCTGGACCGTTTTCCCAAAGCCCTCCTGGCGTGGGCTCTGTACCCACAGCAGTGCCCAGCTCCCTCCCTCAGCTCATCCACTTTGGCTCTTCCCCCCAGAGGGTCGGTTCCCATTACCTGCCACGCCCCGTGTGGGCATCACACACTCCAGGCCTCCTGCACACAGACCTGCCACTCTTGGCGCCCCTGCCCACCAGCCGTGGCTCACCTGTGCCAGGAGGGTTGTTCACAGGCCTCTGGTTTGCAGTTAATTTGTTGTTAATTTTATCACCTCTGTATGTGGTGTGTGGTTTTTCTCTTGCCACTTTCAAGATTTGCTCTTCATTTTTAGCTTTCAATAATTTGACTGTGATGTGTGTAGGTGTGGCCTTGTTTTTTATTTTATTTTTATGTATATTTTGTTGATTTCAGAGAGGAAGGGAGAGGGAGAGAAACATCAATGATGAGAGAAAATCATTGATCAGCTGCCTCCTGCACGCCCCCTACTGGGGATCGAGCCCACAACCCCCACATGTGCCCTGGACAGGAATCGAACCTGGGACCCTTCATTCCACAGGCGGAGGCTCTATCCACTGAGCAAACCGGCTAGGGCAGTGGTTGGCAAACTGCAGCTCCGCAAACTGCAGCTCGTGAGCCACATGCGGCTCTTTGGCCCCTTGAGTGTGGCTCTTCCACAAAATACGGACTTCTGCTCATGGGCCACGAAGTTTCAATCGCACTGTATGTGCGTGCCCGCACGTGGTATTTTGTGGAAGAGCCACACTCAAGGGGCCAAAGAGCCGCATGTGGCTCGTGAGCCGCGGTTTGCCGACCACTGGGCTAGGGCAGTTTGGCTCTTTTATAAATATATATATATATATATGGGCTTGAGAAAGAGAGAAGCATCGTTTGTTGTTCCACTTATTATGCATTTCTATATGTGCCCTGACCTGGGATCAAACCCATAACCTTGGCGTACTGGAACCAAGCTCTACCCGACTGACCTACCTGGCCAGGGCTGCCTTTCTTTTTGTGTGTGTGTGTGTGTGTGTGTGTGTGGAGTATCTTTAAAAAATCTTTCTCTGCCCGGTCAGTGTGGCTCAGTGATTGAGCGTGGACCTATGAACCAGAAAGTCACTGTTCGATTTCCAGTCAGGGTACATGTCTGGGTTTTGTGTTCAATCCCCAGTAGAAGGTGTGCAGATGGCAGCCAATCAATGATTCTCATCATTGATGTTTGTCTCTCTCCCTAACCCTTCCTCTCTCTGAAATCAATAAAAAAAAAAAATCAATAATGTAGTCCTATCTCTGGACTTGCTAGTGCTTTTCTGATGCCCAGGCATTGTGTAGAAGAAAGTAGAGTGCCTCTAGATGTTTTTCTTCCCTTCTTTCCTCTGCTAGGCAGGCAGAATGGGGGCTGTTCACCTGAGTCCACTCGGGGCCTGAGGGTTGAGGCTGCACGGTGACTTTGATGAGCTCCAGTTCCTAGTGAGCAGCCCTCCTGAGCTCTCGCCTGAAAGCCCTGTGTCCCTGCCCCCTGCCCC